GGAAGGTCTTCAAGTGTTAGAAGCTTCTTCTATTCATTTTCTCTGGAGGGATATTCAGATGATATTTCAGTACTTTCTGTACCCTGACCCAAAACATATTTTATTTGTCATTAAATGATGTGAAAACTTCAACGTCTGTTGGGATGCTGTAGAAGTATTTAGATCTTAATTCATCTGACATTCTTGTGTGTTAAAATTAGAGGGGATCTGTATTTAGAGCAGTCTCTCTTCTGAGGATTATGATGTTTCCTGCTTGAGAAGTCATCAGAAATATGAGACAAGATCTTCAGTGATGACCTTTTAATCTGGCTGGTTATTATTCCAAACTAGGACGTGGATATAGAACTGGAAGAAATAGCAGTAGAGAAAAGCATAAGCAGTAATCTGCTTCAACATCAAAATGATACCAGTCGGGGGTCAGTTTGAGTTTTAGGCAACTGCTGGAAGAGACTGTCTTTTTATCTCCAATATAATGCCTTTCTCTTTAACAATCTAAAATCAGCTTTGCTGGTGTCTTCCACTGTGATTAATCTGGTATTACCCAAAGTCCACAAAGTGGCATGAGATCATGCAAAGACAAATTCTGTATTTTTTCCTTCTCTTTGCTAGCAGGGGCTTTTTTTTGATGACTGTCTGACATAGATGTAAAATTGAACTATGGTTCTAAATGTCTTCCAGTGAATTACTTGCTGCTTTCATGTAATTCACTGTTTCATGGTGGCTGCTTTTTCTGCTGAACAAAAAAATTGTATCATCTTTCCTGAGAGTGAGCTTTGCTTAAGTAAAGCTGATGTGCTATAAAGTGGATGCTATTCACTTACCAGCTATCTCATGGGACTGGCACATTCTGGTTTGGAATGTAGTAAAGTACAGAAACTATATTTCAGCAGAAAAAGTCACTTTTCCCTCTCCAGCAGGAGCTGCTTCCACAGTTTTGTGGAACTTTAAAGATTGAGCATAATAGCCTCAGTATTGATCCATGCAATTTACCAGTTCCCTCAATGTTCGTAAGCATAGTGATTTGTGCGATCCAGCCCCCGGGCCAAATGAAACACTAGACTGGAAGAAGCACTTGGGCAAGCTGTGCTCTGTCTGCCACACAGACCTCTCAGGGAGGTGTTGAGTGTAGCTATGAAGTGTCTGTTTCCATGTCAGCCAGTTAAGTTAGATGGTCAAGCTTGGTTTAAGTTTTCGTGGACTAAGCATTCCTTCAGTGAAGCTGGTCGCCTTTTTTGTCTTTTGATATTTGTGAATTTACTCTAGAGATAGGCCTCAGAGTTTGTTCTGCAGATATGTGGCAGGATATTTCCTCTTAAGGGAAAAACCTGTCAGTCTTTGCACAGCAATAATGAGAAGATGATAGAAAGCTAAAAGCATGTGACTGGTTTTGCATGAATATACATTGAGACACTGGTGGATTGAAGCTGAGATTATAACTGCTCAGGTCTAGCACTCCCTTCCACACTCAGCTTGTATTTCAATGATTTCACTGTCAGGTAGTATCTTTCTGGGTTAAAAAAAAGGGTTTTATTAAAACTGGCGTAGGAGCTTATCTCTGCTTGACTTGGCAGTTTGGGTGCTGTCACAGTGGGTATATTTTCTTTCATGTTTTGGAGGAAGGAGAGGAAATTTGGAGCCTGTGAACCTGCTTTGTCCCAGCCCTTTTTGCAGAGGTCTTGTGCAGTTCTCAAGCACAGGTACATGGGTTATGCCCAGTCCTTTGTAAAAGAGACTGTTCTACAGCCATTCCAAAACTATTGCTGAGCCTCCTTTTCTATGCTCAGTTGAGAGTGTTTCTGCCCTTTGAAAACCCCTCTTGGAGAGCTCATTTTGTACCAGTATTTTTAGTCAACAGTTCTTGTGAATGGAATAAATCACAAGCTGAAATTCATCCCTCGCAGTTGCGGGTCACCTTCAGTAGTACATAGCCTGCTGCAGCTCAGCTTCTTCACCAGTGGATTAATGTTTGAATATTGTTGTCCTAGTAACCTTGGCAAGTGGCAGCACGTTAGCCAGCAAGAGTTCAGTCTCACAGTCACACGCTGGAAAAGAGTATGAGATGCGTTTGCAAAAATCATCTGGGACACGTGGCTCTCCTGCTCCATGCTGAACTGAGACAGACCCTGAAGATGTGCTAATTATGTCATGAAGAGAAAGCCAGCAGGGAATATGCCTTTATTGTTAAAACTAACATTAAAACTGGTGGGTCTGATTTTTCACAGCTAAAAATCGAGCCCTGAAAGGCCTTGTAGGAAAGCTGTGAAGGACATTTTCTCTGTTGCCCTACAGGCTTTACTTTCGTTGGTGGTTATACAGCAGAATTGCATACTGCTGTCACTCAACAATGCTGCATTAAACAATTGTTGTCAGTATACCTTTATCCATCATTTCTATCTGTGCTATTAAATTGCCTAAAGTGTAGTCCTTTTTTATGGAATTGTTTAAGGCTAAACTAAACTGGGCGCTCCTTATGTCTCTAGAACCTATAAAACAAAACAAAAGGTTGTTGGATAATGATGAAAGAGAAAGGAATTAATATATGGCTTTAAAGCAAAAATTATCTCCAAATGCTGTTTTTCTTCTTAACAAAAATTGGAAAAATATTAGTACTTGTTCAGAAAAAACAGAAAAAAGACTGGGGAAGGTCATTGAAATACATCTTGATAAGTTTTGTTTCAAATTTGAAAAAAAAAATAAAATTAAGAAATAGTAAATTTCAAGCATAAATTTTACTTAAAACTGCATGGACTGAAGTGAAAAATGCACAAAGCATTGTCATAGAGTCTGAAATGTTTGTATGCCAAGCGCCCTGAGTTAGTGTGCAGCTTGGGGCAAATCATTTAATCTCTTGGAGACTCAACTTTCCTCAACCACAAGTTGAAGACAAAGATACTTCTATAAGATCCTTTGGGAATTTCTCCCCATACCTTTTTTGGTTGTCCAAAGAATGTCTAGGTTGTGTATTCTTACTAAGCAAATGAATGTAGGATCGTGGTTCCCTAGTAAATCAGCCGTGCTCTGCTGTGGTTCATTGGTTGCTTTTCCCCAGCAGGCTTTGTATGGGCACACTCAGGCAGTGACCTGCCTTGCTGCATCTGTGACCTACAGCATCTTTGTGAGTGGATCCGATGACAGAACCTGCATCATTTGGGACCTGAACCAGCTGACGTACATAAAGCAGCTTCCTGCCCACAGGGCAAGCCTCTGTTCTGTTGCCATCAACAATTCAACAGTAAGATCTTCATTTATCATCTTTCTTCTGATGTATCCATGAACATTTCATGATAATTTAATGGGTGCTCTTCCCAACATAAAAACATCCTGAGAGTCTGATACATTGATTTTTTTTTCCTTTCTACAGAGATTGCTAATAGTGTTCTTAACGATGAGAGGCGAGCACTAAAAGCAACATCTTAGACTGAGTAGCTAAGTAGAAGCAGGATTAAACAACTTTTAGTTTACAGAGCATGAAGTATTACCCTAGTAGCTCCTGGATTTGCTTCACCCATAACCTTATTGACTCCATTATTTCATTAGTTTCTCCTGACATTCATGCAGCAGAGCCATGTCAGCTGAGACATGTTAGTCCTCAGTCTGCTGCCTCAGCTGACAACTTCCTTACACCTTTGCAGTGACAATATTGGCTTTACTTTTTCTTCTACTCTCAGGTGTGGGAAGAGCTCTTGATAGCAGTGGGCATAAGCCTAGTGCCTGGCCAGAATTGCATGCATGTTGATAGGAAAATATTCTGTATTGGAATTTACTGTAAACACTCTGGATGATATTTTTTTCCAAGCTTCTACCACCCAGAAATGTTGCTTGCACATTTGTATATTCTGTCTCTTTTAATATAGTAGAACAGGATTCCAGCTGTTCAGACAATTCAAGGTTGGATCCAGTACCAGAGCTTGTACCGAGAGGCAAAATTGAGTTCATAGCAGAAAGAAACCAGGCAGACATTCTCTGCTTAGTCTGTGCAAAAATAGTCATATCATATCAGAGCTTTATTAACCATGCAGTCTGATGGTTAGTAATTGAGGGTGGGAATTCAGTAGTCTGTGCAATGCTAGCTCAGGTGCCGGCTCCAGTGGTCCTGGTTAGTGTAAAATGGCCAGTTAGTCCTGGTTAGTGGCTTCAGCAGGCCAGTTCAGAATACCCTGGTGTGGTCCCTTATGAAGTCAGCTGAAGCAGTGCCAAGCATTCAGAAATGAGTGGGTGGGCTGGCACAAAGCATGGGCTTCACATCCCAAGAGGATGGAGTCCTCTCCTTTCAATGTACCAGCCGACCATTGACAGCAGCCTTGTCATTGGTAGCTCCTCTTCTGGAGCTGTCCAAAACTGAAATGGTCTGTGCCAGGAACAGTGTGGTGATGGATCTAACAGCAGTTCTCCAGCTTGCTGGAATGCAAATGGTTAAACTGATTGGACAATAGTCTGGAGAAAGGCTCATTTAAAAGAGGAAAAACCTTAGGAAAGTATGACTGAAACTTCAAGGAAAAAAAGATGAAGGGGTCCATATGTTGTGGATGAAAAAAAAAAATTTCGATGTTAGTAGAACAGGATGTTTAATTCTGAAATGTGTTTTTATTTACATTTTCTATGTATATTTATATATTATAACATGAAGATAGAAACAAAATGTTTCCATTATGCTAAATTAAATATTTTGATTGACATAAAATTACATGTTTGGTAACCAAGTTCTTTCCTGGAAAATTCAGAACATTTTGAAGCAAGGATTTGAAGGAAACTAATTTCTGAACCACGTACTTTTCTGTGAAATAAGAACCCTGTACAGCTCTTTGTTATGTGACCGTTGGTTTTTATGTTTGCTTGAGCATCTAGAAGCTCCATTTATAGATCCAAAACTCATGGTGTTTGTATCACATATACACAAAATAAAAAGATAATCCCCAAAAGTTTATAAGCTGATAAGGATTGTAAAAGCTTACTCTAACTAATGATTTCAGTTTTAAATCCCTGGTCTAGACCTGAAAAACACTGTAGATCATTACCAAATGCCTGGACATTATGTACTCTTGTGCAGATAAGGTAGCTGAAATTTAATCTCTTGAATTATTGGCAACTCTGTATCCTTGTTTTATCTTCAGAATAATGCTCTGCGGTGTGAAGAGTTCTGGCCCCAAATCAGGCAGGGGTGAAGTACAGTGTTAGTTGATTTAAACCAGATGTATGCTGCTAATTTAAGGGCACACTGGCCTTTGCCAGAATTGGATGATTTTGGTGTTCTATTTAGCTGGTTCTTAGTATGCATCGAGGGTGGAGACATTAGGTGGAATTTCAATTAGTAACTTGATCAAAATGCACTTTTGATAAGATCATTTGAAATTGTAGCATTGGCTCTTGGTTCTGTGTGTTTCTTGCCCCTGCGGGATTTGCTCCTTAAGTGCAGTCTGTGGTAAACCTGCACCTGCAGGGAAGGGAGGAGAGATTCAGCGGCAAAGGATGTTTTCTGCATCAGCAGTGCAGCTCGCTGAATGCTGAGCTGGTCATTGGTCAAATGCAAAACACAGTCTAAAAATGCGATGACATTAAGCTCCCTGTGAGGGGCAGAGGAGGATTGTGAAATCACCAAAGGCTTTGCAGCTAAGCAGGTGAACACCATGTCCTTATTTAAGAGAATGCTTATTTGTAAAACTTAAGAGTACTAGTCCTGGCCCTGAACCTGTGCTAGGCATTGCCTGTGCACAGTCCCTTTCCCTGACAGTAGCTAGGCCAGTTTGTCAGTCTGCTTTTTTTTTACTAAAAGCTTAGATTTTCTGGAAAACAGAAAGGGAACATTTAAAGAAATGTTTTCATTTTAAAAATGCCAAAAAAAAAATGTTTCTGCGTTATCTTGCTAAATTTGAGTCAAGTTGTTTTGCGTTTCTATAGTGTAAAAAATGTCGGAATTTTTCATGAGGAAAAAAATGTCTTTTTTACTTTCTCTGGTTTAAATCATCTGCCCAGAAGCTAAACAAAGGTCAGAATTTAAGTCAGAGCAGCTCTGTAATTTATAATCAGCACTTACAAGTTGTGAGGAGGATGAGTGTAGGATTTTGAAACATTACTTCTTGCTTTGTTACAGGGTGATATTATCTCTTGTGCTGGATCTTACCTATATCTGTGGACAATCAATGGCCAGCTTCTTGCAAGCATTAACACCACCTGCAGCCCCAAAAGCCATGTTGTTTGCTGCTGCTTCGCTGAAGTGATGGACTGGGACACACGCAGTATCATCATCACAGGAAGCACAGATGGAGTGGTGAGGGTAGGTGGATGGGAGAGAGGAGAGGGATTCTTGATTCATTACAAACCAGAGGCAGAATTTTGCATCCTAAATGGAGGGACAGAGCTCCTAAAAACCCATGCCACTTTCTTGACAGGGCAGCACAGGGCAGAACCTGAAAATCAGAGTAAAATATGTGCTTCCTATCAGCTTTTATCCTCCTGAATGGAGAAGTCTTTGCCATTCCAGAAGAGTTTTGAAAACGTGCTTTTCATTCTGAAAGCAAAAATTGTATTGCCCATCAGAAGTATGTTTGAGCCTCTGGGAAAAACAATTCCCTGGGAGGAAAAAAGCAGCACCTGGCTCTTATAGCTGTGGATTGCAGTGCATTGCCTAAAGAATTCAGTATGCACTGCCTTTATTTTACAAATGAAGACACTGAAGTAGAGGTGGTTTTGAGGAATCGTTTAGGTTCACTTTTACATAGATTGACACTGCAGAACCTGTAGGATCCATGGTTTCTGAGAGCTGGTTCACAGCTCAATTTATTAAGTCATACTTTCTCAGGAGCAGGAGAAAGTATGACTTAATTCATTGCTGATTCCACCTCCAGTCTGGCAGGAGAGCTTCCTGGTTTACTAGGATCCTCATTAGTGCATCAGACCTGCAACCTTACCAGCTCCCTACATATGTTTCTCCAGTGTGACACCCTGCAGCGTAGTGGCAGAGGGAGAGACCACGGGAAGTCTTCTGCTGATGATAGTCCAGTTTCCACCCCTTGCTGGGCAGCAGACATTCACATCTCTCTCTTGTTCTGTTGTTATAATCCATGCTTTTTTCCCTTTTTACCTCCTTGCTGGCACAGCTGTGGAGGATTGAATACACAAATACTCCAGACCCAGCTGCTGGAGTGAGACTGCAGAGAGGCATGATGGAAGAACCAGGCAACACAGGTATGGCCACAGGGTGGGCTGTGAACTCCCGTGTGACTGTGTGCTGCAGACCTTATTCGGTTGTGAGGCAGAAGAAGGTGTCTGAGTGCAGTGGTGTGAAGGGGGAGATGGTGCAGGTGACTGGTACAGTGTTACTGAAACCAGCAGCAGCAGTAGTGGGTAGCCACTGCCCTACTTTAGAGACAGAGTGCGCCCCTGAGCCACTAGTCTCATGGGCACATCCTGCCTGGATGAAGCTGAAAGCTTCTTCATAAGCTCTGTCATGGGTTCTCACAAGCTTGATAGACCACCTTTCTACATAAACCTATAAAACTAATGAACTATCCTGGCTCCAGAAAGCCTATTCCCTTGGCACCTCTGCTGATGGCCTGTATTAAAGTATCCTGGTATAATGTCAAAATGGGCAGTACCAGATCCTGCCCTGGGATGGAACAAGGAAGTTTGTTTTCTTTGCCACCTTAAATGAGGTCAGAGGCCCTTCAAACTGGTAGGAGGCCAGCAGCAGGCCTTAGTGCATGGAGCTGTTTATTCAAGGCTGTGTCAAGCTGAAGCTGATACCTTAGAGTTCTTGCAGAGCTGAGGTTAATAAGATGATGGGGTTACAATGCTGACTGGTATTAAAAACAGCTCAAGCACACTTCTCTGTTCTAACAAATACAGGAGCTGAAATCTGCCAGGGAGCTTTAAAGGCACGTCCTAAATAGCACAGCTTGCTTCTCTTCACATTTTATAAGAGAAAGAAATTGTAGTGTTTGTATGTATAATTTACACCACTTATTTGCTGTGATCCTCATTACAGACATTCTCTATTGCTTCAATTTTAGCCACAAAATTTGCATAAATATAGAGCTATAGATGTAACATCTGCATAAAAAGATATTATACAGTAATTGGGCATTACCACTGAGATCTTCAGAAGTGCTGTTCATGGAACTTGGCATCTACATTACTTCGATTGCTATGTGAAAATATTTATACATACAGAGGCATATTGGAAATGCCAAACCAGATGCCCATCGTACATTTTGTCACATCTCAGAGTAGCTAGAGCCAGATGCTTCTAGGGAAGGTGCAAGAACACCAGAGATTCCAGATGTGACATAGTCTGGCTGTGGTAGCTACATATTTGGTTTCATTGTGGTGTCTAATCAGAGATTGCTGTAAGTCAAAGCAAAAGACAACATTCCTTCCAAAATCCTTGTAGTATTCAGTAGTAATTTTGTAGATTCTTTTTACGTGTAGAAATGCCCAATTTGTTTTAAGAATTTCCTAAGTTCTTGTTCATAACTTCCTGTGGCAGATACTTCCATGTCCTATTTGCTCAGATACAATTGCATGGGAATGTCTTTGAACAAACCGAGATTTTAGCTATTTTTAAAATTTATGACTTGGTTTTCTAAATGAGGACTCAAAAGCTGCCCATGGGAGCACAGCAGAATACTCCTGTTTGTGCCTTTTTCAGAGAGGATCATGGAAGACATGTACTGACCCCAGGAATCTGGTAATGTGTACAGACACACACACCTGTTTGCACAAGAGCATAAGGATGCATGTTCTCAGGCATGCACAGCAACAGCGTTCTTTATTAAAGAGTTGAGAGGTGTAATCAAAGTGGTGATATGTTCCCTTAAACTATTCAGATGACTTCAGAATTATTTTAAATAACCAAATATTCCCACATCTCATTCTACACATTTAGGAAAATAAAATTAATACAAAACAGTCATTAAAAAGACCAAAGTAATGATGATTGAGTTATGTTGTTGGGGGAAGTTGTGTGTGTGTGTGTGAAATGTTTTCAGCATTTAATTATTGGATCTGTTATGAGCAGATTTAGATAAGTTGATAATACCAGGCTTTATGTAATTTCTTTTTACTAGGCAATTATGGGCTGTATTATATCCTGGCAGCAAGGTATTGTGGGGCATCTTATTAAGCATAGAGCCAGTGAAAACTGATGAACAATTTTGCTGAACTAGGCATGCAATTTAGAAAGCAATAATACACAAATCCAATTTAGTACACAATTGATACAGCCGCACGTCAGCACATGTAACTATCATAGCCACAAATTAAATTGGGATGGGCCTATTTTGCAACAGCACAGGCTGAGATTAAATATATTTGTTCTCAACTTAACAACTTGCTGACCGTAAATAATAACAATCCCATCCATGCTGCCCCCAGACACTTTCTAAATATTTATTTTTAAACAACAGGTAACAAGTGTGGAAAACATCTTGTTCTCTGTCGGGAACTGAATCCCAGCCTTGCCTTGACTGGAAAACCAAGTAAGACCAGTCCAGCGGTGACAGCGCTGGCCGTATCCAGGTACTGTCCTTCCCTTTGCATTGCAGCCAGTGCTCGGCAGAGGGCACCACGTCAGCCTTGGTCTCTCCACTGCTCTGCCCGAAATCGGCAGGTTGTTTTATTTTATTCTGGAGTTTGTATTACTGCTGGGTTTTTCTCTTTTTGCTTGTGTTGTTTTTACTAAAATCTCAGTCGAATCACTGTGTTTTAACCAGACGCAGCCACTCTGGGAGCTGGTCTGGCTAACTCTGTTGAGAGAATGGTGTTGGGATAGTCAGTGGTCAGATAGGAGACAACCCAAGAGAAGTAGCAGCTTTCGGCCAGAATAGGTAACTGCTACACCGTCTCTGCACCACAGAAAACCCACTGTCCTGGGAGTTGCTGGAGATGCTAGCTCCTCAAAATGTAAATAGGAAGTTTTTGGCCCAAGGACAACTTTGTTGTTAAAGTCCACTCAGTTTGCACAGCCCGCAGTATTTTAGTTTACTAAATCCCCCTACTGCAGTTTCATCTGGCTGTAAAATTTGTTATCTCCTACCCCAGGATGTTATGATTTACTGTAAAACAGTTGCTGTCTCCAAAAGTGTTGGCATTTTGATAGTTGCAAAAATGACTCCTATATTCCATATTGCTCAGAGCACTTAGTGAGTGTGATGCACAGAAAGTGGGAAAGTTTTTGGGGGGAGGGTTAGTTTCATTAGTGTTGATGGCACCGCATGCAGTAGAGATTTCAGTGGCTGAAGCCGTGGCGTTGTGTGCTGACAATTCAGAATTCTGAATCTGGCCAGCAGATTTAATTAACATTTATAGAGTCTCAGGATCAGAGAGGGGTAAGAGCTTTTGATCTGGCTAGACTGTCCACAACTAACCCACTGAACTCCAGGAAAGTTTGTATTCAATTCTAAGTTCAGTCTTTGAAGTATGAATCTTTGTATACTCTATAACATTGATCTTCAAATTTAACTTTAAAGACAACCTTCTCCCCTGAATGTTGCATCCTCCTAATTGTTACATGTACAGGAGAAAGTCTTGATCCTATTTGCATCTTGTTCTTAAACATTTTTCTCTTCTTTTTCTTTCTTTCTCAAGAAATTCCTCGAAGCTCCTAGTTGGTGATGACTGGGGAAGAGTCTGCTGCTGGTCTGTGGATGGATAGGAAGAAATATTGAAGAACTCTTGCTTTTTCAGCCTTTTGGATGGAGAGAAAATTACCTTTCAGAGCATGAAAGAGTCAGAAACTGGAAAACTATGGTGGGGACTGAATCTCAAAGGAGTTGTTGGACTGACCCTGCAGTCAACTCTGATTGAAATTAAAGAATGGACTCAAGTTGAGACACACACTGACAGACATGTGCATACTCAATGAGATTTTGTAGTATTTGTCCTGGGAAAACTTTTGTATTTTAAATGTTATTTTTACATACTGAATTTGGCATAATACATTGTATTTCACAAATAATAGTTAGCAAGTAAAACTGCCTTGATTATGCCAAAGAGCTTAATAAAATAACATATTCTAATTTTAATACCATGAGATCAGAAAACACTGAGGCTTCAAACAGATGTTAAGTGAGTTTGTTGCAGTATCTTTGTTCTTATTAACATACAAGTATGTTAATATCTCTGTTCTTACTCTTCCTGCTTCCCTGAATCTGTATGAAAATGTATGCATGCCTTTAGAAAAGCTATTTTGTTTGCAGTGTGAAGGTAGGATTTCCAGGTTGACAGTGGTGTCTTTATCCAGCCCCATTGTGAACATGTGTTACGGTGCAATCTTTACTTTCCTAGTCTCTGACAGTAAGCAAGGCAGGCAAAATGCATGGAATGGGTGAGGGTGAAGATCTGACACAGATGGTCAACGTATTCTTTCATTCTCCCCCTTCAATGCCTTCTTTTCTAGCCTGGTCCTCATGGAGTATCAATATATGAGACATACTTCAGGATCTACCTTCACAATCACCCTGCATGGTATAAGTGGGTATCTGTAGTACAAGAAGGCTTAAGAAGGCCTTAGTGTAATACATTTAAGTGCCATTTGTGTCCCGAGTTGAGATGAAGTGTGAAAAATCAAACTCCTTAACACTTTATGAGAATTTGAAGGAGATAAACTGATAACTCCCCCTCTTCCTTACCCTCCTTGACCTGGTAAAGAAATTGAGTATCTTATGCAGAGAAGGGCTGAGTAGCCACTTAGGCAGAGCAACTTCCTGAACACTGCAGACTGGGTCAGGACAGAGCCAGGAAGAATACGAAGGACGTTACGGCCATGAAGGCCCTTGTGTTCATACCACCAAACGCAGCCCTGAACAGACAGAGCCAAGAGGGTTCCCTGATTTCCGCTGCACTGGGACTGATTAGCACTGCAGGAGTGAAGCCCTGTGTGTGCTGCACTGGACAGCCAGACTTTGAGGAACATGAGTAACTGTTATATGCCAAAATCTTGGTGCTAGAGACTTGCCAACATCATTAGGAAGAATCTGGAGTAAAAGACGGGTTTTTATGAGTCTTCCTCTAACTATACCATCAACTTTCTGTAGGGCACTGCTTTTTCATGACTCTTGAATTACGTTGCTGAATGAGCAAGACTTCCCATGGCAAACAGCTTGCTTCCTTACAGAGTGCTGATATGTGTGTGTGTGTGTGTGTGTGTCCCCAACCCACCCCGCAGCTCAGCCTAACCTCCACAGTGAGTGAGGTAATTGCCTGTGGAAAATGTAGTAATTAGAGGCTAGCTCGTGATGCAGACATACAAGGAAGGCTGCATTATGTCTACACAGATGACCTGGCTGGTTATCCTTTCTAACCTCCAAGTGTGTGACTTGACTCAAATACTATCTTTTCTGTGCTCAGTGAAACATACTCTGAAAGCAGGCCCAAATGCACCAATGTTTTTGCAATCAAAGTAATCCTATGGAGCAAAGGTGGACCATGCCCATCTTTCCTTTTCCTGAACACTAGAGAAAGGACAATTTTCATAGAATTCAACAAAATTAAGTACACTACTTCTTTCCTCTTCCCTCTCTGCACATTCCTTAAAAATAAGCTGTGATTTGGATACACAGACAGCAAGACTTTCACTCCTGTCAACTGTGAATACAGCTTTACTGAACCATGACAAAGATGATGATTAAGAGCCATGAAAGAAGCTCACTACCTACATTTTTCATTTACCTAGTAGGCATCTTGATAACTTGCTAATTGTGCCTCCTTTTTTCAAGCAGCCTGTCTTTGCCAACAGCAGATACTGTCTTTCCTAGAGCTGGCACTGGCACCTACTTTGCAGCCTGGACAGCCGCACTAGTGGTTCCAATGCTCTAGACATCAACCTGACTTTGGTATAAGAAGAGACCAGCTGTAGGCTGGCCATGCATGGATTTGACAGGCTCATCTCATTGTCCCTAATGTCGGTTCTCTGACCTATTCAAGAGAAGGACAAGGTGCATCAGCTGTTCTTTTGGATCAGAGAGAACAAATCTGGAGTGTGCATGTGTGAATGGAAGTCAAACAATGGCTTGTTCTAATGTTCAGGGAGTTGTAATTTGGGAGAATATAAAAGGCAAATGGATAGAAATGGGTTGCAATTTCCTCCTGGTGAAAATTATGATTAGCAGTGATTTGCTCTACAACAGTGCTTGGTTGAGAAAGTTTTGGTTTCTTCTCTAGCTCTAGAGGGTTTTCTCCCAGAGTTGTCAGTCATGGAAAGATATGCATACTGTGAGTACCAAAAGCACCACTCCTTGCTTGCAGAGTTAAGGCACAAATGTAAGCATGTTGCAATTGTTGAATTTCCCAGATCTGATAAAGCCAGCACGTGCGACAGTGGTAGAATGCTACCTGGTCATTTTTCTGCAGGCAAGTCTCTGTGACATGAAGTTTTTGCTAAGAGATTTGTAATACATGGTTGAACAAGTAGCTGTATCCAACCCTCTTACAAGGACCTACTTTTATATGTGTTGATCTCCTATGTGTTTGGTAAATGATGAATGTCCATGAAATTTTGTCAGCTCTAGATGTGGAATTGGCTTTCACTGACAGATAGACAAGGCTTGGTGCTAGCTCAAGGCAGTAGTGGTGCCTACTTGGTGGTTACCCTGATGTGATACTGATTCTCTAATGGCCATGTGGGATGTAGGGGTAGCAGATCTAGAATATGCTTGAAAAATTAAGCACGTAGAGAAATTCCACAGCAAATACTTTTTGCATAACTCCATTGTTACTGTGGCACAGTGCAAACATCACTGGCGTGTTGTAATTATCTCAGAACCAACTTTTGCAAGCGGTAAGTAGCTCAGGGTGAGAATTACCCTTAAAAGAAATCCAATGCCATTAGGATAAGAAATGCAGAAATAAGGCATGGTCTTAACTCTGCCCTGTAGGGAAACCAAGAAGAGAATGTAGAACAGCACAACCTTTGTGTGACTTTAAAAATCAGTTTAATCTGATCGGAGCCTATAAACCCTAAAAGGCCTTAATCACACTTATTTGGTTATTGCACAGACCATCTCGCTTCCTTGTTCAGCAATAGAAGTCTTATAAATGTTACAGTGAGTATTAAATACTGTTTGATTTCTGTAGCTTTCTGTTGGCTAATAAATGCTAGTGAAGCAATATTTGCAGAGCTGCCTGTGCACTGCAGGACCTTTGCATCCTCATAAAAAAGGATTTGCTCAAATCTTTTTTGAAAAGTCCATGCAAAGAGATCTGTAACTCTGACAGGAAAGTTTTGCCTGAGATTGTCACCATGTGCTACTGCTCCTAAGTCCTTTTCATACTGGGATCTCAAAGCTTGTTGCAAGAGGCTGTTGGTAAGAAGATCATCTCACTCAGCATCACCTATGGCTGTCACAAGGGAAGTTATCTGAGAGCTGTATGAGCTAAAATATTGTGCAGAAATATGCTCCCTTCTACATGAAAATGCAGCCTGTTGTGCTTGCCTCTCATCTTTCAGAGGGATGTCCCAAGGAAGTTGAAAAAGAAGCCCAGAAAAGCTCTGGACTTGATTCCAGCTCTCTTGTTTTCTCCTGTTTGGTACTAAGCATCTCTGAGCCAGGTAGCTGGAGTGATTTGTTTGCTTATGGTCACACAGATCACTTAGGGATCAGAATAGTTACTGCATTACTGGTGTCACTCTTCAGACATGTGCTTAGCAATTACTGTTGTTGAAGTCAGCCAGGCTGATGGGGAGGTGTGAGAGGGAACAGGGCTGGTGGAGGAATGCCAGCCTTCCCTATGCTTTTTGCCTTACAGATTGTCATCAGAGCTCTTCCCAAGTGTTGGGAGGCTCCTGAAGATTTGGAACATGAAGTTTTTAAAAGGGAACCCCCTTGTTCCCTGCACTGGAGTTAAATGCTTATGGAAACCTGGTATCCAGAATCAGGCAGCATTCAGCTGTACATTGGGATCTTGGTGACCATAAGTAATATTTGCTGTAATGAGCACTGAGCAAATATAAGCCTTGTGATGAGGACAGCTGTGCCTGTGTTCAGTGATCACTCGATGTGTTTCATACTCAAGTGTTGCAACCCTGTGCATGTGGAGGGTTGTTGATGTAGGGCAGTCACTGAGGGAACAACGGGGAGTGTGCTGGCTGGGTAGCTGGAGCTGAGGATGTTAGGTGAGTCCTGTGGTGGAAAGAACATCGTGAGCTCTTACTGATGGGGGAGAAGCTGTCTCTGTGTAGGTGACTGCAAGAACAGCAAGGGGACTTTCCCTGTTTCAGGCCAGAAATTGTCTCCTTGTTCAGTTTGGGCAGGAGACTCTAAGGACTTTGCTTCTCGCTCGTACCTCTGTTCCTTGGCCAGGACGGGAAATGACGAGTCATGCACCCCTAGCCACTCCAGTTTTGGTGGGATGCTCAGCTCCCATGGGGGGAGCACAGGGATTAAGCAACTGGAATGAAGAGCTCTTTGGCCACTACTGTGCTTAGTCTTTTCCCTGTGATTTTCTGGCTGTGGCAGTCTCCAGTGGAGAGGTGGCAACAAGTTGAATTTCCTCTGCCAATGTCTATGTCTTTATGCTCCCTTATTTTACTGACATCACCAGACTAACCAAAATAAAATGCAGTCAAGCTGTAGTCGTTTAAGTTCCCATCTTTGCCACAGTTGCAGAGCATCAGATCTGGTGAGCGAGCAAAAGGTATATCTTTATTGTGACAGTGGGACCATGCATGTTGTAAACAAGGGATTCCAGTAGCATTGTAGAAATAACC